ACGTTTAAATACGAGTATATAGATTTTGGATACGAAATTTTGATGTAATAAAATAAAAGTATCGTAAGATAACTTCAGTTTACTTATTTAAATTCATTCATTCATATCATATGAAACTTGAAAAATGTTGTCTATTGTTTATAAATGATTTCAGTTGTACAAAAATACCATTTCTCTTGAAACAGAGACATTTTTTGATGACACAAATATAGGAGTTTAGGAAAGCAGTTCACTAGGATGAGCATTAAATTAAACTTTTGTTATACATTGTGTTTCTCAACTCTTCAATCCTCAGAAAGCTCTTCTTTGGATTATTTTAGGCTAAAAGGCTTTAATCAACTAATGGTCCAAAGTCAACTGTTTTCAAGTTGTAGAGTTCTGAAGTGTAAAGAAAACATCACATTTGTTTAAATATCTCTGAAGATGCTTGATATAGATTGATGAAAGTTGCGATGATATGAATAATTAAAGGTAAAACATTAGTAAATTATTACACAAATAATACCCCAGCCAACGACTGGGGTGTTGAGATCACTAACAATTAGAAATTTCAGCTTCACTCAACTTTTTTTAAATTAGATAGTGCTACTTTAAAAAAAAAGTGCCTTAGAAAAAACAGGTCCTTTCGAGATATCTATTTTCAGTAAAAATTCCTAAAATACTGCTCATGTATGTACATAATATGTATACTCGTATGTACGTATCCTGTATGTAACTTTTACGAAGTATTGGAAATTTTACTTCATAACTCTATTTACTACAACATTTCTAATATGATTGCACCTTGTCAGCATGGCTTTATGAAAGAACGCTATACTATTACTAATTTGATTTACATTTCGATTCTATTTGTAAACATAGACATAGTTTATATATAAATCTGTCGAGCATGTGGTTACATCAGAAGTTCCTCAATGTTCCATTCTTTTACCTTTACTATTCATTATATGCAGCAATGGTTTAGTTAACTATTTAGATGTAAATTTTCTTCTTTATGCGCTTGACGTAGAAATATACAACTCAATTCGTAACATTAATGACCGTGTTCAATTTCAACAAAACCTTGATAATATAAAATCTTGATGTAATAATAACAAGCTAATGTTAAATACTAAAAAATGTAATGTTATGTCCTTCTACAACGAGTCCACTCCTATTATATTTAGTTACAACATTGATTATGACGCTTTGTCACGACCAAAAACGTTTCGAGACATTAACGTTGTTTTTGATGAAAAATTGCCATTTAATAATCATATTGATACTGTTGCACTGTTGCCTCCGAAGCTATAGTAGAGTATATAGATTTATAGTTCGTGATTTTACAGGCCTATATGTCATAAAACTTCTTTACTTTAGTTAGTTAGATCGATACTTAAATATGCCTGTCCTGTATGGTCTCCACACAGTGGTGTCCACATTAATAAAAATAAATGGAATCTATCCATTCAATCAATTTTTAAAATTTTTAAGTTTTAAATCTGATGACTACTATACACATATTGGATGTCCGCATAAGGACCTTTTAAATAGACATACCTATATTAGTCTCGGAATTAGACGGAAACATTTATCTTTTTAAGATTTTACGTAATTTGAAAGATTGTTAGGAATTTATATTTTTATCAGATTTTCATTTTCTATCCCTTTGCTTAGACTATAGAATCTAGAACATTTTATTTACCAAGCCTAATGTACTCAAACTGTGGCAATAGCAATATAAATTATATAAACATTTTTAACAAGAGCCTTAATTATTTAAAAAGACTTTATTTTTGATATCGTCTACTTTTAGANAATTCCATATAACAGTAGAGTCCTGTTCACGGTTGTTTCTAACAAATGAAAAACATAATTTTGAAAACACAGGTAGTTATATAAATATAGAGTTTTCAATTTATTTTCTTTAACTACTCGTTTGTAGTGATAGCATTTCAGTTTGAAATTATTTAAATACATTGTTGTATACTTAGTGCATTTAAGTAAGTAGCCTTATATACACGGCTGGAAAATCCACATGGTCCACATGAGAGCGACAAAGTAAAGTAAAGAAATCCGTGCGATAGACAAGGATGGCTATACTGAAGACGTTTCATAATCTGAATAGTAACCGCCCGTTTCGAGTTAGAATTGGGAGTGACTAAAATTATTATCAAACGTCTTCAATATAGCCATCCTTGTCTATCGCACGGATTTCTTTACTTTGTCGCTCTCATGTAAAGGCAGATAGACCATGCGGATTTTCCAGCCGTGTATATCTATTTTTTTCTAGATACTTGACAAGGAGAAAACCTCTTGCGTTGTTTTTACAAAATATTTTGTAAGTTCAAAATCAGTTTTATGACTTCTAAAGACCACCTTCATGATATACGAGGCGGTTACTTTGTAACTATTTTTCAAAAAATACAGTATGGGATCGATTAAACTAGCAAACATGTAACTGTCAACTATAAATATTTATAAACATAATTTCTTTAAAATATAATATACCAAGAGATTCCGTATCTGCGAAAGTAATTATGTGATTCATAAAAAGTGAAGGTGAATGCGATCAGGGTGATTCGTTAACAACGGGAAAATCGAAAACTGAAGATACTACACGTGAAATGGTGCACAAAGATGCCTTATCCGAACCATTTTTATTTGGCCACCAATCCTCTTGATTTTCCTATTGGGTCTCGAATGAAAAATATAGTTTATAAAGAACATATTGTTCGCGTGAAGAGTTGTGGCAAAGAATACAAATCGCTGCCAACAAAGTCAGATTCAATCCCAATATGTTGTTTCAAACTCGAAGATCTCTCAGAAAACGTTGTGTAGAGTGTATCAGTGTCAACGGTGGATTCTTCGAACCATCACTTTAAATCATTATTACGTATTTCATTTGTTTTATTGTTAATTGTTGTAATAACATGAAGAAAAACGTGGTTTGTTTCGCTTTTAATTTCTCGTATTATCAAAACATCGTTTTCGTTACATCGATTTTTCTCGAAAACGGATCGAGATACCGAAATGAAACAAGAATACATAATTAATGAAATATTATTGCTCTTTCAGGCTTTGAATCAAGTTTCATGTTTGACATACAGGGTAAAAAGTTATTAACTAAATTTTCGGTGAAATTGGGCACCCTCTATGAGCAACGATGAAATTGCAGCACGCCTCTTATTCGTCGCTTAAAAAAATATAGTTTCACAAATTTTTTCATAAGTTCCTAACCTACATATTTTCAGAATAATCGCGAAAAAACGGTTTAAAATTTTAACTCTCAACATCATTTCACGTATAGTATCTTCAGCTTTCGATTTTCCCATTGTTAATGAATCACCCTGTATACAGGGTGTCCCGAAATTCATGCAACAAAATTTGGTCACAGTTTCTTAAGACAAATTTAGGGGACCCGTATTTTTTATTTTTGCCAAGTGGCTTCCTCTTTCGGAGGAAGTCCGCCCCTAAGAATAATTTTTTTTTATATCTCAGAACCCCGTTGTACGAGAATCACTAAATTTGGTACACAGGGGTTTTATGACATGTGGAATCTGATGGTGATTAAACCTTTTTTTCGTTATTAATGTGCCAAAAAAATTTAGTAACACTCTTTATATTGTTCCCAATTATGTAAATATCAAATTTATTTTCAAAGTTCCGTAGCTTTTATATTTTATACCTAGCGTGAAATAGGATCGTTTGTATTCTAATAGATGATTTAATTATCACCCAAACGATACCATAATCTTACGTAATCGGTTAAATTGAGCTTCTGGGTAAATGGTCTGTAATCATTTTCTGCCGGTTAAAATAACGAATCATTCCCAAATTAAACACTACAGAGACTGAAACATTGACTTTTTATCTAAGGCACCAGGGAAATTATAAAATAGAAGGCCAATTAAGCAATTTCTGTTAAAAGGGGAAAAATTCAAGAGGTTAACCCTTTCAGCTGCGTTGTTTTTTTACGGACTAGTCGTGTGTTGTTCTATACTACAGTCGTAGCGTTAGATTTCAGCTTTATCGGCAAAGTAAAGAAAGCAGACAGATTACTGGACATTTCTTAGATAGCAAGTAGAGTGTTTTGTGGAAGCCCCTAATCATGTAAGTGCAGGGTCGTCTTAAAATAAAAAACGCTAAATGTGCTTTAAGGATCAAAACGTGTTATTTTTGTACATTGATGTGCTTCATTTATCATTTTATTGTCTATGTGTATATATCAAACATTTTGATTTTTTTTTCAATGAAACAGGGCCTTATTGGCATAAAAGCGAACGATGTAGGAAAAAGATAGTATAAAAAATTGCATATGACATCACTTTGCTGGTAATATGACACCTTCAGAAAATAGTTATAAATAAGACATTTTTATATTGGATATGCTTTGGTTTAACTTTATTTACTTTTTTGTTTTAATGGCATTTCTTACCTGATTATTCGTCCGAAACCCACTGTCCTTCCATCTCTCAAGAAAATTTTGTGAAAATTTTATTAATAGACATTAATAACTTTAATTTAGCCTTAAGTAAGGAACAGTGGTGTGAAATCTATAATAAGAAATCTATAGACAAAGCTTATCGTTACTTTCATGATATATTTATGTATTATTTTAATGTCTATTTTCCATTAAAAAAGTACAAACATGAAGTGCACGACAAACAGTGGGTAAATAATGAGGTAAAAACGTCAAGCACGAAACTAAAAGACCTATTGTAGGCAATTATTTATTTTTGTTTGTAGATAGTAGGTCAAAAAATATATACAAGAAGAAGAAGAAGAAGAAGAATATAGGATGATGTTGTGTATGATGTTATAAGAGTGTAAATGAAAATAAAGCAAGCAAAAAGTAAAACGTTGTTTTTGTGTGTACAGAGTGCAGAAAGAAATAAACCTAACAAGTCAGGAGTGGGGTTTATGTGAGTCCAAAATACGCAACTTACGTCGGTAAGCCTAAAAGAACGAAGAGAAAAAAGTACTTTTGAAGCGTAGAAGTAGTGTGATTAGAAAAAAAGATGGATGACCATGACGAATTCGAACAATTCCAACAAAATCTGAGACATCAGTCAAATGCCGGCAATGTACCAAATCGAAATGATCCCGCAGAATGCAGTAATGATTCGCAAGTAAAAAGTCAAACACAAATAGATCAATTAATGGTTACAGTACAGTCAGTGTTGCAACAAAATGCCGCCATGTTAAACATGTTGCAATTGAGTCAACAACGAAATATAGTACCTGAACAACAACCTGTAGCTAGTGCCACAGATGAAGAAAATACTACGAAAAATTTTAATATAATGCCAGATTTATCAAAAACTATTGACATATTTGATGGTGAAAACGGTCCAGTGTCAGCAAATAAGTGGTTGAAACAGATAGAGAGTGCAGCGGTCCTACATTCCTGGCCAGCACCGTTTGCATTTGAAGCAGCAAAAAATAGTTTGAAGGGAGCTGCAAAATTCTGGTTAGATGCTAAAGACGTTAATGACTGGGACTCGCACAAGGTCGCATTTAAGAAAACATTTATATTTGCCAAGAATAAGACGGAGTTGTGGAGTAGTATGCAACAAAGAATACAGAAACCAAGAGAAAGTGTTAGTCTATACTTTTATGAGAAGCTGAGCCTTTGCAAAGAACTAGAATTGGAATTTTCTGAGATAAAAGAGCAAATAGCCATAGGGTTATGGTCCAAAGAGTTAAGTGCATTTATAATAAGTAGAACGCATATGGATGAGGACGAACTTTATCAAGACATAGTTAAGTATGAAAGAATTGACAATACCAGAAGAGAAAGAATTTTGGATGGAAAGGACAAAAAAGTAAAGCAAGAGAGAAGGGACGATAAAGAGAGAAAACCCTTATTAAGAAATGATCAAGCGCAACCAAAATATTATAATTGTGAGACATTAGGACACATTGCAAAATTTTGTAGTCAACCGAAGAAAGAAATAAAATGTTACAAATGTGGACATACTTCTAAGTATTGTGAAAAACCTATGAAAATAGAAAAAGCAGAAGTGAAATTAGTAAAGACTGATGTACAACCAAACAGTTCTGCAAAATATATAAAGAATATCTTACTAAATGATCAGAGATACACAGCTATGATTGATCCAGGCAGTTCAGATTGTATAATGGGAAATTTTCCAATAGAGAGACAGATGTGTGAACTAAACGACTTTGGAGATGGTACAAATGTTGTAAAGTGGTATGGAAGAATAATGACCACAATTATTGTTGATGGCGTGGAGAGTTGTGTTATTATCGGAAGAACATATACCGAATTGCCTCATGTAGTATATTACAAACTAAATGGCGAATTGCATTTTCAAGCGAATTGTGATGAAACCTTGCCCTTATTTATGACAAACAAGAGATATGAAAAAACGGAAGTCAGTAAATATGAGTCTCTGCCATCTAGAAGGATGAACTTCATCGACGTTAAAATGTATGAGAAAGGATTTACGTTACCAGTTATGAACCTTGAAGAAGATGACAAGATCTTAAAAATGGGAGATAAATTAACAGAGAAAATATTTTCCGTGAAAGAATTACCATTTATAGAAAGCAAAGAAAAGGAGATGGTGATGGAAGAAGAAATAAGTTTCGACAAAGAAGTAAACAAGGAGTAAAGGATAGAGTTACTGGAGACTGAATAAATTTCGTGATTGTATCGCAAAAAATATATTTGAATTAGGAAAGACTGATGTGATAGAAATGAACATACAAGAGAAACCTGGAACTGTACCTGTGTATTGCAGACCATATCGTGCAAATCAAGAGGACTGAACCAAAATAAAGGAAATTGTTACCGAGTTGAGTTGAGTGCTGGGTTGGTACAAGAAACTACATCGGCTTATGCAAGTCCAGTTTTGTTAGTTACAAAAAAAACTGCTGAATCTAGACTAGTCGTGGACTATCGCAGACTAAATGCTCAAACGGAGCAAATCAATTTTCCTTTACCTAATCTTGACGAATATATGGAATTATTATATGGAAGTAGTATCTTCATAACACTAGATTTGGCCCATGGTTATCTTCAGATGCCCTTGGAGGAAAGTAGCCGACAGAAGACCGCATTTATAACTCCAGATGAGACAGGAGAGTTCACCAGAGCCATGTTTGGCCTTATGAATGCCCCTTTTTACTTTTCTAAACTGATGCACCAAGTGTTAGGCCCCTTACAGGGTAAAACGGTTATATTTTTCCTCGATGACATTCTTATACCAGCTAGAGATTGGACTGAATTAATGTTACGTTTAAGACAAGTATTGATGAGAATAAGAGATGCCAAACTAACAATCAAGTTATCAAAATGTGAGTTTGGGAAACGGGAAGTGGAATATTTAGGATTCAGGATAAACGCACACGGAATTCAACCAGGAGCCAGAAAACAGCATGCTATAGAATCGTTTCCGAGACCAACAAATGTTCATTCAGTAAAAAGATTTTTGGGGTTAGCAAGCTTCTTCAGAAGGAAAACGCACGTTTTCATGACGAAAACTAAAGTAGAACTGGTTACAACATAAAACTGAGCTAGTAAATTTTCAATTCTCTACAAAAAAAAACAGGAGAATGAAACGGACACATACCATTTAATGTCACAAATATTAATAAATAATAATAAAGATGATTTCAGACGTTCTCAATAAGTTTTCATTATTATTATTCATTCATTAATTCCTAATCATTTTATAAGCGCCGTTTTGCATTTTCAAGAATTCTGATTATTGAAAATTCTTATTACACTTTGTCTTTGTACCACGAAAATCACATTAAAAACTACATGTTACGTCACATTACTGGGTTACAGCTATATGTCATTTAATTTTTATATAAACATATTTTTTATATACGTTCAAAAATTAAGCCCCAAAAAAGAGTTAATAACTACATAATTAGATTATAACGTTCAATGTCAATACAATATAAAAAAAGAATAGAAACCAAGGCAGAATATAATTGCAATGCAATTGTCTGAGAAAAAGTGCAGGATTCACTATTTTTTCCTTTTATGAGGAGTATGGTCGTCTACTTTCATAAACCAGCAGTCCTGTATCCCATCTTCCTTTGTATCTTTGCTCCATGGTGCTGATTTTCCTGATGAGACTGCTCTTCATGTTCATCACTTACAGCACCAAGGTTATCACGGAAAATATTCAAGTATGTGGGTGAAGAAAATGAATTTTCAAGTGACACACGACACCCTAAATTTTTGTAGTTTTTTAGAAGTTCTGCTATCAGTTACGGGTAGTTACTATTTGCTTCATGATTATCTAAAAATCCTTTCATCACAGAAACAAATGATTCCCGTCCTGTCAGTTCAAGGAGTTTTAATTTTGATTTATAATGTTCGTCATTCAAAACTTTTTTAATTTGAGGCCTTCTTTTATTTTGGCGCCACTCTCAAAAGCATTGCCTGTTTTGTTAAGTTAAAATAAATTTCCTTCAAATTAGTTCATTTAATGGCAAAATTAACTATACTTCTCCATAATAAATTCCATAAATCATAAAGTTCGGACTTGAAGGGTCAAATTGTTGTCCCTTGTTGTCTATTAAATTGCACTTTATCCACATATTTTTATGATGAACAAAAATTTTTTTGAATGTTATGATTTTTAAGTAATTCTTTACATTTTCATAAAAATAAAACAATTTTTTTACGATTTCTATTAAAACCTGACGCGATGGATTTGGTTTTATCATCACATATCAGTTTCAGAACAACATAAATACATTTTTTTTCATATTTTCTTAAAACTTTAAATGCCTGTAACAGTAAAACCTTACGTGATAGAAAAAATCTGAAAGCAGATTCGAATTCAGAAAGTGAAATCCTACAAGAATCACTCCTAAATATTTGTGTTGTAAAAATCCTGTCGGCCAGTGTTATTATTTTTATGCATTCTACATGCTATTAAAAATCCTCTCCAAGTTTTGAATCACCCTGTATTGTTTGAACTTTTAAGTATTCAAAGTAAATTGAAAATTTCATTTCATCACCGACAGTTGACTCCCATGAATCATACAGAAAAAGATATTAATCGCTTTGAACGATTATATATAAACATATTTTTTTTTTTATTATTTCAATACTAGGTACTTACAATTTTGTTTTCCTCTAAAAATATATGGTACCGAGGAAATTAACGTTAATCGAATTTAAAATGTTATTACGTATTAAGTACCTTCTTTAGAAATACGGCTCAATTTAATAAGATTTCGTTTTCATGCAATTAATTAGTAAAGCACCTGTTTCTTGAAATTCTTGTGTAATTTTCATAAATATTATATACTTTATGATTGCCACTGTTCAGGATAACTTTCTTAATTAGCAGCCGCTAGCCTTGAAGACTGTGACCGATGAAATACTTTTTAAATTAGCTTTTAATTAAATGAATTTGGAAAAACATTATTTACATAAAATTTGGAACAATTTAATCAATTACCATAATGTATTTCACAGACAAATAAATATTAAAACGAGTATGGGTTGGGTTACTGTTATTTATTTAAGAATTAACCATTATATGGTATTATACATCAGTACCAGTATATCAGCAAACTTTTAAATATATCAGTAAGGCTAACAAACGAAAATGTTATTTTCACTATAAAACTTTAATCATACTCCAAAAACGAGTTCATATTTAGCGACGCATATAAAATAAAATTAATATAAAGAATATAAGTAAATGAAATGACTTCCGTATTATGCAACAAACAGGGTGTTACGAAATTCGCGGACAGGGACTGTGGGATCATGTTAAGATAGATAAGGTCATAGAAAATGTCTCTATCATTTTTCAATCAGACCGATATTTTTCGAAATATAGCAGTTTTAAATATCCAAAAATAATAAAAATTTTCAATTTTTAATCATTTGATAAACAATTATGATAAACGAATTGTTCAAAATTTCCACCGTCTACTGCTAAACATGCTTCAGCACGTTGTGATTACTTAAATAATAATACTTTTCCTGGGCGTTGGCTTGGCAGAGGCGGTCCATTTAGTTTTCCTCCTCGTTCTCCAGACCTAACGCCATGTGATTTTTTCTTTTGGAGCTTCCTAAAAATGTTGGTGTACAGAACACCAGTGGCAAATTTGAATGAATTGCACAACTGCCTATTTCAATCAATACAGCAAATAACATCAGAGATGATACGCAACTCCATTCGAGCAGTAGCACAACGTGCTGAAGGATGTTTAACAGCAGACGGTGGAAATTTTGAACAATTGTTGTAACTCGTTTGTCATAATTGTTTATCTAATAATTGAGAATTGAAATTTATAAATATTAAACATTTTTATTATTTTTGGATTTTCATACGGCTATATCTCAAAAAATACTGGCCTGATTAAAAATTATAGACACTTTTTTATCACCTTATCTAGCTTAATATGATCCCACAGTCCGTGTCCACGAATTTCGTAACACCCTGTATAAAAATATTTAATATATACAAAATTAAACTTAATGTACTTAACTAAAACTAAGAGTATGTGGTGTCAGAAACTCAATTAATTGAAGAAAAGAAAAAACTGTTACAAACTGCCAGTTATAATAGTAATTCATAGCAAATATATTGAATTAGTAACTGATATTAAATACTTATGATAAATCTTAAGATGTTTTAAATATTCGTGCAGGGAGAAGTGTATTAATTCTACTGAGAACGTGTTACTCTCTTATTTCAATCAATTATTTATTTTTTAATGATTTGGTGCAATGAACAGAATTAATAAACTTTTAAAGGGATCAATTTAAAGTTATTAAACATAGAATGGTTCTATTACCACATAATTGGTTACTATTTATATTGTAGTTTATTAATGCTACTTTATATAATAATTTAAGTAAGTATTTCTGTAATAATTTTTTTAAGGACTAATTTGTACCTACGAGGTGTTAAAAAATGTGTCACAAACTTGGAGGTGGGATCGTATTGCCCAAAATATGCAGTCTTAATGAACATGGGTCCGCAAATGAACGAATTCGGAGATACGGGGCAGTATTCCTTTTTGTAGGATTTTCGCATTTTTCGATTGCCGGATTTACACGGAACTTTTGGACAGAGGTGAGTAGAGAGGGGCAGACTTGTATCACGGCCTACAAGATCTCCCAATTTAAACCGCCCTGATTTCTTTCTTTGGGGATATTTTGAACATTTGAGTGTACACTAGGCCTGTGAATGACCTCAAGGAGCTGCAGCAACGAGTAGATCAATCCGAGCCACTGCGGTTTTCGAAAAAGGTGGCGGAGGTATCAATGCTGACGTGAAATGGAGGGAGGAAACTTTCAACATTTGGCTGTTTGTTTGTTCATAAATTACATTAAAATCATTTGTTTGTACATAATAAAAAGAGGTGTAAAGGTAAAATGTTTCTTATCTCTGAAACCGTCGATTTGCGAACTCTTCGTTTGTAACACATTGTTTTAACATCTTACTAACTAAATAAATACTAACAAGTATTGCCAAAAATACTATGATTAGCGAAATAATTCTTTCAACGAATATAAAATAACACTAAATTCGGATTTTAGGATTCACTAATTTTTGTTTAAATAAATTTACATAAGAGAGAACCCTGCCTACAGCCAACCCTGTCCCACATTGCAGCCGCCCTAACATTTCCGATCTTTAGTTGCTTGTTTATTATCATTTATTGAAAGCAAAAAAATGGTTTACTATGCTAAAATATTTATCCACAAAATATTTTCGTAAGCATTAGTGGAATATGTTCTTATTAGCATACTCCACGACTATGTCTAATAAAATAATACATAGAATAACGATCAGTTATATTAAATAGACGCTTTCAGTGTTTTTCATTTTTAATTGAAGGTGTCAAATTGCTTTTAGCCTGCCCTGTGCTTCACGCAACATTACCTCATGGGTCCTCCTCTACCTAATCTGCGAGTGCAAGCTGCATTTTCGGTGCGCACATGTCTGCGATAATGAATTTCCTTTAATGGAGACGATAAGATAGTGCGAATACTTGTTTGCCGGATCCATTCGTTTGAAACCCATTGATGTATCGTTATATGTATAAATACAAATCAATTTTTAACTTACGGTCAATAAAACATTAAGGTCAAAATGCCGGGGACATAATTTACTGACGATTGTATTCGTATTTATTTACTTACACGAAGGGAATAATAGAAGTTACATGAACATGAAATATACATTACGCCCCCATTGTTGCATGTGTTCAACTGGTTTCATGTGACAACGAATTTTTAATTAACTAAATATATAATCAATTTTAACTTACGGTGATATGAAAATAGATAAGTACATTCTTTTTAGAGAACTTACAGGGTGCTAAGGAAATGCAGGAAATATAGGTACAGGTACTCATATCATATTTTAGCAAATATTTTATATAACGTATTATGATCTTTAGACAACAAAAATGTTACAGTATTAGGTTTGCTTGATTTTTCTAAAGCATTCAATATTCTGGATCATTCTCTTTTGTGCTAAATTGCATTAACATACTATGGCTTTGATGAATGTTCTATACATGAGAGTTTTCGTATCCATATATGTGTTTGTAGATATTTACTAACCTTATCAAAATTTTCCGCACGCCCATGGAAGTAACTGAATTTGTTTTGATTTCATTCAGCTCGGAGTAAAACCTTTTCATTAGAAATGCATTAGTTTTATGAAACGTAGATGGTGGTGCCAAATTACAGAGGCTAAGTTTGTGGGCAAGGAGTAAGAAATGGATTGTACGGTAGCTACTACACATTTTACAGAATTTTACTGAAGCGTTAGACATCTTGAGAGAATATTTTAATCAACACTTCGCACTTGATGAAGTTTTCGATTATATTGACCGCTATTTTTTGAAACACTGTTACAAATTTGGTAAATAGATGAATGGTAATGATTTGTGATGTATTATGTGGTATTATCTTTGGGGTAGAGGTATATTTTTAGTGTTAATATAGAGTTCGAGTTAAGACCAAATATACCTCTACCCAAAAGATAATACCACATGGTGATGGTCTTTTAATTGACATCGCTCGTACCTCTACCCCAAAAGACACTACTACAATTAGAGGAAAGTTTAGTGGAGGGTTAATCAGTATCTACAGTTGTTAATTGTTGAGGTTTGTTGCATACACTTTCCTTTCAATTTCTTCTGGAAAAGCTATTTCGAAACATCAATATAATTTCCAACAATATGACTGTCATGAAATCAATTTTAAATATGTTTTTGGTTATATTTTTACGATTGTTAGACCGCATATAGATCGAGATTCTAACGCTGGTCAAGGAACATGTGCTTCACAATTTTGAACTATTGGCCGTGGCGTATCTTACGCGACTGGTGTTATTGGAATGCTTTCCAATGCATTTGCAGCAAATGGTTTGCTTTCGTTTCCCTACAAAGTGAGACTAACACAACAGGTTTTGTTTTTAGAGCGAATGTAAATGCAGCACTGGCACCTACTAGATAGCACAGGCCGACAAAAATAGAAAAGTTTTTGTCTTTTAGATCAGACTCGATTTTTCCTATGTATTTTGATGTTCTGAAAATGAATTTTAGGATTAGAAAATATCCCGACTCAAGGGTTTTCCACAAATCACCTTCAAATGCGCGATATTTAAGATTTTCTGGTCATTTTTTGGGTAACCTCATGCAAGACTTGTGATATGAGCAGAATTCTGATTTTCAAAATTTTTTACATAAAAGACTGCATATGAAAGGTTCAGGTACAGATTTCCAAGTATGGAGTGTTGTCAATTGTCAATTGACTGTCAATATGGACCAGCAGATCAATCATTCTACAGATGATGAAGAAACTCATTGTCTGTGGGTTTTTCAAACTTATCTTGAGTGATCTGATATCGTTGCATCGTCTGTCAAGTGTCAAAAGACCAATAGATAGATCGTTCATGAATATGGTTAGTGAATAAAACAATCAATAAATAAATCGTTCGTAAGACGATATAATTATACATATTAACAAATAAATGGAAGAATCAGGAAATAAATCAATCAGTAAAATCGATAAATAAACCAATAAATGAATAGATTAAAAGAACCTGCACATACGTGAATCTTAGTCCCTCTGGATGAATGTTGACTGAATTGAAAATCAATCAACATTCATCCAGATCTCAAAATCCAGTGCATTCATAATCTTGGGGAATAACCTATGTCAAAGACATGTGGAAATGATATCATCGAATAAAAATTGATGACATGGAGGAAAATAAGATGTTGACTGTCAAATGGACTGGAAAGTAAAGATTCGCAGGCACCTAGTTCTTGAGAAAATGGAGGTCCTGACAGTCAATTGACAATTCCATAGCTTGGAAATCTGTACCTCAACCTTTCACACGCAGTGTCTTGTGTCAAAAACTTTGAAAAACAGAATCCTGTTGTTATCACACAAGTCTTGATGACGCATAAAGTTACTCAAAATATGTCAGAAATCCTGAAATATCGCGCATTTGAAGGTGGCTCGTGGAAAGCCCTTGCATCAGAATCTTTTCTAAACCTGAAATTCGTTTTCAAAACATCAAAATACATAGGAAAAACTGGGTTTGATCTAAAAGACAAAAACTTTTTTTTTGTCGGTCTGTGTAATCTTCAACATTTTAATGTTTCAAAAATTTTTTTATTTTGGATGCACGAAACGTAATCAACCGAAATCAAATGTGTCCTTCACATGAGACGTTACTGAAAGAAAATGTTAATCATCTCATTTTTAATTATCACAATTCCATTCATCCATTTCGAAAATTTAAAAACCGTATATTAAATGGAATTTGTCAATGTCCTATTAAAAGTATACTGTTATTTTCAGATGAGCTTCAACTAGCGTCTCTTCCCGCTTTCCCGCACCATGTTCCATTCCACCTCCAACGCCACCGGCTACAGTGACGCAAACACGGGATTCCACCAACACCTCCAACAGTCCCCCGTCTATGTTCCCAGCAACAGGGCGATGCCGCAGTACCCTTCTCCGGCTGGTGGACACTTCGGTGGTGCTCACCAGAGCAGTTGGCATACAAGTGGTGGATACGGAGAGATGACGGCCCCAGCAGCGCACGGTTTGACGACGTCCCCACACCACGCGGGAGCGCTAGCTGCCGGCCAGTTCTACGCCCAGAATATGATGATGGGAGGATGGAGGCCGTACGATGGTACGGGATTTCAGAGAACCTCACCTTATGGTAAGCAGGTATATCGGTTTCGATTAAAAAGTTACCGCGAAATTATACTGTTTTTTATTTGTTAAATAACACAGCCCTACAAAATAAAAACATCCGCAGCCCAAAAACCAGTATATCTTTTATTAAAACTCTAAAATATCCTCTAAAAGTGTTAAATAGTGAGGATAAGGTAAAGCTTTATAATGAAAACCAACAATTTGTAAATAGTACTTCCAGAGAATATTTTAAGATAATATTTTGAGCATTGGAAAAAAATATTTGCAAATTAAATCCACACCCACCCCTATGAAGGGGTTAATTCCACACCTAAGATCAAATAGCGAAAGTTGGTGCAAAACAATGTGGAAAACCGTAGCCTTGTATTTTATACTACCAAATATATAAATGAGTCTGAATTCTATTGCCGCGGGTTTTTGGGATCGCTGATTAGGCATCTGAAGTTCGAATCGGAAAATTCCTGAATAAAAGATGGTGGATCCAAAATGGCGGAATAGGAAAAGCATTCAAAATTTGAAAATTATGGCATAAACTTGTTACTCGCTGATTTTTCAAAGTCGCCAATCACGAATACAGGGTGGTGCAGATTTTAATAGACAAACTTCGGGATAGTACTAAACAACAAAAATTAACATCACTTTGCCCTATGAACATAGGGGCAGAAAACCACCGTTTATGAGATACAGGGCGTTGAAATTATCAAAAATAAAACAATTTTTTTAAATATCTAGAAAACCGCTCCATCAAATTTATCCAAATTTCGTACACACTTTTTTTTCGAATATTTCTCCTAGTTCTGTATGCACACAGTCGAAATTCAAAAACCAGAGCCGGAGAAACAAGGACGTTGTTTCCTTATTTAGAGTAAAAATTCTACGCCACTGAATTAATTGGTAATATGAATACATTTTATAACGGTCTGAAATATTCCGGACGAAAAAACATTCTTTTATTTTTGCCGAAAAGTGAATGGTTTACGAGTTATGAGACATACTATCCAAGTAAATAAAGCATTGAAATAGGGAAAAATAAAACGAATTTGGGTGGTCCAGATTTTTATTAGACAAACTTCGAGAAAGTACTAAACAACAAAAATTAGCATCACTTTGCTCTATGAACATAGGCACAGAAAGCCACCATTTGTGAGATACAGGGCGTTGAAATTAACAAAAGTAAAACATTTTTTTTAAATATCTGGAAAATCGCTTCATCAAATTTTTCCAAATTTGATACAAACTTATTTTCAAATATTTGTCCTAGTTCTGTATGCACACAGTGGCGGAGAAATAATGATACCGTTTCCTTATTTAAAGTAAAACTTTTATGCCACTGAATTAATTGGTAATATGAATACATTTTACAATGGTCCGACACATTCCGGATGAAAAAACACTTTTATTTTTGTCGAGAAGTGAATGGTTTAAGAGTTATGAGACATATTATTATGCGGTTTTCCAGATATTTAAAAAAATTAGTTTATTTTTGTTAATTTCAACGCCCTGTATCTCATAAACGGTAGTTTTCTGTGTCTATGTTCATAGACACAGAAAACTATTTTTGTTATTTAAAACTTTCCCGAAGTTTGTCTATTAAAATCTGGACCTCCCAAATGTGTTTTATTTTTCCCTATTTCAACACTTTGTTTACTTGAATAATTTGTTTCATAACTCGTAAACCATTCACTTTTCGATAAAAATAAAAAAATGTTTTTTCAATTGTAATGTTTCAGACTATTTTAAATTGTATTCATATTACCAATTAATTTAGTGGCGTAGAAGTTTTACTTTAAATAATTAAACGACATCCTTGTTTCTCCGCCACTGGTCTTTGAATTTGGATTATATGCATACAAAACTAGGGAAAATATTTTAAAAAATGTGTAACAAATTTGGATAAAGCCGTTTTCCAGATATTTAAAAAAATTGTTTTATTTTTGTTAATTTCAACGCCCTGTATCTCATAAACGGTGGCTTTCTACACCTATGTTCATAGAGCAAAGTGATGTTAATTTTTGTTGTTTAGTAGTTTCCCGAAGTTTGTCTATTAATATCTGGACCACCCTGTATAATGTTTTAATTCGAAAAGGTTAAATCCAAAATGGCGGATTGAAAAGTGCCATAGAAATTGGTATTTACCACCCAAAGAAATGCGTTATGAATGTTTAAAAAATTGAGTCACTTTATCTAAATTAAAAGTATAATTTTAAAATTTTTCTAAACAATTCTATGAAACTTTTGAAGAAAAAACGCTAGTACTTTGACAATGCAATGAGGATTCGCCTGATGCCATAACTGGATCTAAAATCGCTCTATAGTAGGATCGTATACGATGCAAAGTAGAGCAAAAAATTGTCGGCCTTTTATCAAAGGAAAATCGTGTCATCATTTTTAGGAGGCGTAAGATAAATCATTTCAAATTTAAAATGAAATTCAATGTAAAATCTGAAATACCGCTGCATACGCACTGTGTTCTGGTAGTAGCTGTAGNAATTCGCAAATCAGAAAAAAAAACAGCGAATTCTTTTGAAGGAATTTACCAAGCTAATATCTTAAGTTTTGAAGTAAAATTATATCGATTTTCGCATTCTCGTCAAAAATATTATTCGTATTTTCAAAGCTGCATATTTTTTAAAATAATGGATCGATTTTCAAAAAGTAAGAATCGATGTATAGAGAATTAAAAGCCCTTTCTAATGACCCGTCCACTTGATCCCCATTCCCATTTAAAAAAATTTGGGGGATGGCACCCCCACTTAGGGGGTTGAAGATTTTGCTATGCTTTTTGCGTCAAAAGTTGTCCCCCTCAGAAGCAAACTTTGGATTTTGCCGAAAAGTGCATTACTACCCTGTAATGCCTTGCGGTACGTTTTCGATGGGCTATCCTGTATATTTCCCATGCATTTTGGTCTCGAATGATACACCGCCCTCAATCAAAAAAGTTGATTGAGTTCTTCTTACAGAGTGCTCACTATTCTTATTTGAATTTTCTAATTTCAAGTATTTGCAATTATTTAATTTAATTTTTACCAACGAGCTAAACAGTTCATCCACTGTTTTTATACTTGTATATAAGGAAAAAACTTCGAACGTTCTATTATTCCTTTGCCTCAATGAAATATACGTCCTAACCAGTTTCAAAGCATCAACAGGGAATCCTTTTGAATCATCAGTTTTACTTACTGGTATTTTAATTGTCCTCCATGGTCTTCTCTTCTTTCTTCTGTCTTCTCTTTTTTTGTCATCTATATCGCCTACAATAATTTTTATAAGCTCATCTCTTCTTAATCCTCCAAAAACCTCATGAAAACCATTTTATGTAATAGATTTTCTTCTGGAGCTTTATTAATAAAAAATAGAACCTGATCACCATTACTTTCGATTTCTTCGGAATATGTTCTTTAATATTCATTTTCAAAAACGTATAATTTTTCATCTCTTTTTAGTCCCCCAAAATTACCCATCATCAAAATTCCTTTATGTAAAAGGTAAATCTTCTGGAGCTTTATTAATAAAAGCTAGAGCCTGATCCCCTTTTATTACTCTGAAAACATATCCTTTAGATTTAATTTCCAAAAACGTGTAAGGCGATGAAAATAGGAAATGTCATTATTTTCTTTACCAATTAATATGGAATGAATTTTATAATAGATATGACCCACAAGGTATTTGGATATTTTTTTGGACAATAATAAAAATTTCAATCAAAAACATGAACTGAAATCAAACATATCCACTCCTCGAAGCACACTAACATTACGATCTCGTTTGTGCATGTTATTTTATTTCTCAATTTCCATTCAATAAAGATTTCATATTTTTTTATGTATTTGATTTAATCGATAATAAATTTTATGCAACTTTAGCTACAGTATCTCTAATATTATCTGATACCTCCTATTTATACAGGGTGATTCAGAACTTATCCAAAAAAAAAAAATTCTGGATGTACATGGGACCCTTACAAATACAATTTTGTAAAGAAAAATCAAAAAGGTCAGTTCGAAATTGATTTAAAAATACACTTCTGCACGGCACTGGAAACTGGTCCACTGTAAAACCTGACCTCGCACAATCCGCCGTTATGGCGGCGTGATATAAACGGATAAAAACTTTCGCAAGGAAAGAAATATGTAAATAGAATTTTATCGCACCTATTTTATATCGGCAAATTCAAATGCCGATGCTGCAACAGCAATTGTACAAAATTTTATCCACTCACGTATAAACACATTTGGGTCCGTCTTACTCACTTTCTACGAACTAACACAAATGATGTCTTGTTTCACCATAACACAAACGCTTCACCATAAATTAAAACGATATCCATCAATTCCGAGTACACGTAAACCATTTTTGACACTAACTACCCATTTTTGACACCAACTACTAAAAACGTGTTATAAAAACCACAGATAACAGGTAAATACGCAACGACGATTGCAAAATCCTAATTCAGTATTCGGAGTCGATGAGGCCACGTGGCGAATGATGCTAGAGACTACAGTTGTCCAGCTGTGTAGTGGTTTAATGTGCTATAACTTCAATAATTTTTTGGTCAGAAACTATAAGGATTTTAAAAAAAATTTTTTTACAATATTGACTCCATTTCTCATGCCGCATTTATTCCCAAATTGTTTTGGATAAGTTGTGAATCACCCTGTATAACAGAGGGTGTTCCAAAAGTAACGCAGGATTTGAATTGTGAACCATTTGTAGTCCATAAAGTTGGCAGCATTGTGTAGGGTCACATGTTGTAGTAAACCCGTTCCGGTTAGACAAAATGGAGCGCGGTACGACTGGTGGGCGAATGAAGATTCATTACAAGTACCTACGGAGAGTGTGTAGCTGAGATTGTGTGCAAATTACGTGGAATATTCGGTACAATAAAAGTCCCAAATAAAACATCCGGTTTGTTCAAATTTGGCAATTGATCTTTTCACAGTTGTTTCATTCAGGATGTTCCTTCTACCGAAACTTCCACGTAATTTACACACAGTCTCAGCT